ACAAGAATAGAGCACATACAATTATAGTTCATACTTGATAATGATAATAAATGACTGCCACTGGCATTACTTTAGACTGTACTTTTTCTTCTTAAAAAGAAACAGTGCCATGTTACACTGGCAGCAGCCTCATACATCTTGTATTTACTGTGTCTCTTCGTTGCATTTAATCTCGTGTTTTGTGCAGTGACATACTATACAGGCTGGTAGCAATAGGCCTAACCTGGGTGTGGAGTAGGCTGCACCATCTAGGCTGTGTAAGTGACTATGATGTTCCCATCACGACGAAATCACCTCTTGCCACGTTTCTCAGAATGTATCCCCGTCGTTAAGCAGCACATGACTAGTCCTAAATGGTTCAGACGCTCATCTCAGTAGCATCCTCTGGGCTTCACTTCCCTTTCTTGGTGATTCTGATGCAGATATCCACAGTGTGCTCCCTCGTTTCCATATGCTCCACCCCCATGTCCAGGCGTATAAAAGAAAAGCATTGTACTTGGTATACTGTCTTTTTTCAAGAGTTAGTTTCAGCATGGAAAACAATGTTTCTAGGTCATTTATAAAAACTCAATTAGAAATACTGTATTTTATAGCCTCCTGTTTCTTTTTTGAGGGGCCATACGGAAATGTCTTCATGAAAGGAAGGGAATGGTAGCCCCGCCCCTCTCTGTCTTCTCTGCACTGGGAGCAGCTCTCCCGCCACAGCCCCTCACCCCCTGAACATGTACGCTCTCACCAAGTGCATCTCCACCTCCTCCTCGGGCAGCAGCACCTCTCAGCTGCCGAGCCAGTCACTGTCTGCAGTGGTGCCGAGCCGGCCCAAGACACTGACAGATGAGAGCCTGAGCCGCTTGGCAGCCTGCGTCCCCTGACCTCACTTATAGCTGCACTTCCAAACCAGCGCCATTCCAAGGCCGTGGACACAGCAGCCTAGTCCATTGGGGCTGGGGCTGCGCAGTGGGGGCGGCAGGCTGTGAGGCTGGAATCTGGACTGTGTGGGAGCCTCAGTGTTGGTTCTGCCAGGAACCCTTCTCCGAAGCAACAGCTCTTGCTCTACGCCCTCTGGGCTTTGCCCTCTCAGAGGCCATGGGCTCTCTCGCCCGCTGGCGGCCTTTCTCACCCTCTCTGCCATGTGAAGCAGCTGTCTCCACCTCCCACAGCTCTTTCCCGTGTCTTATTTGCCCTGCATGTTCCTTTTCCTTTACCTCCCCAGGCAGCCTGGGGGAAGTGGTGGGCTCAGGGTTTGCCAGAGGGAAGACATATCAATACTGTACTAATAAGGGAAAAGGAAAAGAAAATGGAACTGAGGGGTCAAATCTAGCCCATAGCCTGTTTGGTAAAGAAAGTTTTGTTGAGGTCGGCATGTCCTTTCCCTTAAATGTTGCTGTGCCTGCTTTTGCATGGCGATGGCCAACCTGACAGCTAGGCAGAGACCACCTGGTTTGCAAAGCCTAGAACCTTTTCTGTCAGGTACTTGACAAAGTTTACCCATCCCTGGATTAGAGCAAAGAAAACACATTTTTTCTACAATTTCGGTTTTTTTCCTGTTGAGGTCTCATCACTATTTTTGTCTGGGCTGCCAGATCATTAAGTGAAAGAAACAGCTGTATCTTCTGTTTTTCTGCAAGAAACTGTCTGTTTTTTACTCGTCAGTGAGAGATACTCCCAGAGAAGGCTGTGGCATTCCAGCAGATTCTCCGTGGGCGCTGCTGGGTTATTGTCCTGACCTGGTCAGGCTCAGAGATGGACTCAGATTGATCAGATTCACCTGAAACTGAGGTCACACCCAGAATGTAATTTTCTTCATACAAGAGGAGTTTTTCATGAAGAGATTCATGTCTGGTACTCAGGGAATCCACTGCCTGGTGTTGGCATGCATGGGCAGCCGGTGTCATCAGCAATTGCCAGCGGGCTGTGAAATCTGACAAAAGGGGCAGCAGGGCCCTGGGGGCCAGGCCAGCCTGAGGA